TTGGTCTTGAGACTTTGAAGAATAAACTATTGCACACCAAATCAAACATTTATAACCCCAAAACTCCGTTGGTTGTTACCCTGAACAATGAACGGGTAAGCACAAACTACAGTGAGTTTGATCAAGAGTCAACTAAGAAAGATATTGGCTAAAGTATCTAGACCCAGTAAGGAATGGATTGGCACAGCAGTCATTCCATATAAAGCAGGAATATCGGAGATTATTCGAAGACTGTTTAACTTAGCCAACACTCGAGTAGCTTTTCAGAAGGGAAAAACGCTACGCTCAGTTTTGGTGCAATTGAAAGATCCCCCACCGGCTGAAAGGACTAGGGACTGTGTTTACAAAATTAACTGCAACGATTGAGTTAGCAAACTGCCAGGGAATTGCACACCAGAATTGGTGAGCATAAAAGAAGGATTAACAAACCACCAGGGAATGCAGAATAATACCAAACGCTGGTCAAAGACTCAGCGATGGCGGTACATGCCTTGGACACAGGACATAAAATGGATCTGGAGAATGTGGAAGTTTTAAGACGGGGACTGCGATTCACACTACAGCGGCTGATAGCCGAGGCGGTGGAAATTACTAGGCATCACAGCGTGAACAGAATCGAGGGTGTGGGGCTAGCGAGCGTATGGAAAGCGGTCTCAGATAAACGGAGTTGACACGTGACGCTGTGGTTGTCAATCCACTTAGGATCATTAGAAAAAACCGGGGATGGGGGTGGAAATCCCAACCGACCAAGGGTCACAGCATCCCTCTTACACATCTTTCTTAGCACTAGCTCACCCACATAGACTAACAGAAGGTTCAAACGAAGTTCAAGAGGAACCATCAAACGAACTGAACCAGAAGAACTAGACCCTAGGCTGGACCCAAACACACGTAGGTTCTCCACCGACCCAACGCTTGTTCAACCACTCTAACACACTAAAAATCCACCGGCCGACACCCAACAGTGATTTAGCTTGACTTAGCTGGTTGGTTCTCCTTCCACCTTAAATCTCGACCAACCTCGGAACCTAGCACTTGGCCTCAGCAATAAATCTACCGATTGTAACCAAACGTTTTCGAAAACGATAAAAAAAGACGTGTTTGAAAGTGATCCAGTACCGCAACTCCTCTGAGGGTTGTCCTTCGAAGATAGACCACTTTCATGATAAGTTCAAAACAGCCTCCCCCATCTGTTAAAACCCCACTCACAACCTCTCCGGAGATAGATGCAGAGGATCTCAACTCGTCATTTCTTCGTTGGATTTCTTCGCTGTTCTTAACCGTAGAACAATATCCGCTCGTTGTTCCACCATACCCTTCGTAACCGAATTTCATACGGACGTTGTCACAGCCACTTTGGTTGAGATGAATTCGGGCAAAAATCTTCGCGTTCTGCCACATCCAGCAACACCACTTCAGACTGTTCGTTGTTTTTCGATCGCTTAAATATCCTCCGGAATGACTTCATCACATGTTTATTACTGCACAAATTTGGTGACGTCTTTTGCTTTCAAGAACTGCCAGAGCACGTTCATGCATGTCCATATTTCAATGAGTAATACGAAGCAAATCTCATGAGGATAACGCGGACCAGCCTAGGCATCTAACATATTTAGTCACCTTGAATTCCAAGCGGAACGCTGGGTCCAGTCGAGTGTGGTGCGCACCATTGTTGGACCCAGATGAATAGCCAATCAGCAAATCTTATAGTGCGTACAAGTTTGTCCAATAGCTTCCCACCATAAATCGTGCGTTCGTATAAATACCTTGTTTGTACGATAGTTCGTTCGTACAGCATTTCGCCGTAATGTTTCGGTTGATCGTGATGAACGTGGTGTACTTGGTCCTAATCGGATCGAGCAGTGCCAGGTGAGCACAGGTCATTCTTTATCGAGTGGGGCACTGGTGGTTTCAGCGTATCAACGAATGACTCAGTGTCGCGACGAAGCAAAAGAGGAAACCCTACCGGAACTAAAATAGAAGTGACACTTTTCGGCTTTGAGGTAGGTTTTCATTTTGATCGCTAAAATTTTTCCACATTAAACTAGCATAACACAGCATATTACGGTATAGTGGCAATCGGATATCCGCCACAATATTTCAAACTGGTCTTTGATACCGGATCACCGAACATTTGGGTTGGCAGTGAGAAACTGGCGCGGAATTTACCCTATTTACAAAATTCATACGGTCTTGGCGAATCAACAACACATTTGGACAAACAAAAAACCTACTACATGAAGTACCCGGATTACGTTTTAACTGGTAATGTCATATCAGATATTGTACGAGTAAGCGAAATGTGTGTTTGGCTTCATCTGTTTGATTTTTAGTTCCCCAAGCATCAGTTTCGCACAGAATTTGCTGTGGTCGATAACGTGCATGGTCAAATGGATCGGCTTCGTTCAATTGACGGCCATTTTGGACTTCCTCTAAAGCAGTCTCACGCGCGGTTCAAATCTACTCCACTGGATGATATGGTTTCGCAAGGGATGATTTCACGACGCACGTTTGCTTTCATCTTTTCACTGTAAGCGATAAAAATAATGCTATGAAACTGAACCAAAAATTGTTGCACTGAACCCAGTTTAGTTGCAGCG